GAAAATGGCCGCGGACCACGTGGCACGGGCGGAAAATGGCCACGGACCACGTGTCACGGTGGGAAATGGCCGCCGATCCGGTTCGTACCCCGAGGCGGAGTTCGCAAACCGAGGGAAATTTTTGGGGCCAGAGCTGGTCGTAACCCGAAAAATTCGCAAGCAGAGGCGTTCGTATCCCGAGGTATCACTGTATGTACAACTGAACAGAACATCAGGTTTATTTTTATTTTATTTAGTTAGCTAATCCATTTATATGGATGCTCAACTTGCAAAATGTGACTCTGGGTGGCTAACGCAGGATTAAAACCAGAAGCAAAATCAACATGGTTTTTGAAAAAAACAAAGAAAATATAGCATAACTGAGGCTATCTCACAGTAATTTCCTTTCCAACCATTACAGATGGGCTCATACAACATCCCGGACAAATGCCCAGGTGAAAAGCCAGGTTTTCAAGGCCTTACAGAAGACCAACAGGGTCAGTGCTATCTGGATCTTGGGAGGTATGCTATTCCAGAGGACAGATGCTGTAATGGAGAAGACACACCTCTTGCCTTACCCCACCAATCAGATCTCATGGGACGGATGGAATCAATCAGAGACAGGAAATCCCAAAAATAACCTGACCCTGTGCCAAGAAGGGCTTTATGGGTAATAACTAGCCCTGTGAATTGTATCCAGAAACCTACTGGAAGCCCATGCAGCTCACAGAGCAATGGTGTTACATAGGAATACTGGGGTATACCAATAGCTACGTGCAGTGCTGGATTCTGACCAGCTGCAGTGTTTTCATGGCATTCAGCAGTAACTCCACATCGAACAAGTCCAACTGGGAGGTGACCAAGGCATGAGTGACTGTAAGCCTCTTGATCCAGGAATGAGTGCAATTGGCACACAAGATGAATTTGTACAATGGTCCTGCTGGCCATGGCTATCTGTTCTTCAGGTAGGAGCTAAGGATCCAAGAGAACCCAAATTGTGAACCAGTTCTGTCTGGGGAAGTACTATGCCATCCAGAATTAAAGCTGGAAGTCCCTGGATCCAGGAGTCCCTAACACCCATAGCTGCTAGGGTTAAGACAAAGGCTGTTCTTCTCCTTCTAGATCCTCACAGCCTCTAGACCTGGGAAAGAACCTAGATAGCACCACCTAGTTGGCTGGGGACCCAGATTTATAGCTGAGTACCAATAGGATACTGATGATACTTAATATTCTTTCCTCCTGCTAATACCAAATAGAACCAGCTCTGGAGGAGTGAGAATCACTGGAACACCATGCCTTCCACTCCCACACCTGGAATTGGTCCAGAAGGATACCATGATTAACGGTAAAAAGTCAGTGTCAGCCAAAACGATTTACTTCAAAGATTCCTTTATCCAAATATATTTCTTGATATTTGTGAAATGCATGACCAAACTGGATGTGATACCTGTCACAAATGTGTGTTGTATAATTTATATTTTGAAAGATTTAAAAAGCCATTTCCACTCTACTCCGGATTTGGGAAAAAGTTTCCATTCCTCTTTAGTCTACAGCTTTCTACTTAATTTACAAGGTTTTTACAAGAATAAGCCACCATATTCTTAGGCTTTAGTCAAATGAACAAATACTGAGTTTGGTGAGGAAAATGTTCTGTCATAGCTGACTACATATTCTACTCAAGACTTTGAAAAATTACTATGACATTTCACCAGACAATTAATAAATTAGTCGCAGCCACCACTCCAGAGTCTGAAGGCTTTACTGTGTCAAACCAAGATGAGCGAAACAAGAGATGAAAGAGTGAAACTGGAGTACTATTTCAGCCAGCTTTGCATAAGCAAATGAAAGTTAGGGAAGCAGACTACAGTATTTTTATTTAGTGCTTAGCAGAAAATATATCCAGGACACCAGTAAAACACAGAGTCTTTATTACAGTGTGTTGAATATACTGTGCATTTCTGAATTGTACAACATACTCACCAAGTATTTAAAGAGTAAAACACATTTATACACACTTAAAAAATAACTCTTACTTTAAACTCATGTTAAATCAATCACAAACTAAATACAGACTAAGAAAAATATCTCATATACAGTTTGTCTGCCAGCTGAAAAGCAGTCCTATACTGTAGTACTTTTCCTGTGAAATAAAAATAGTTATATAGGAAAACACAAAGCACTATCGTTTCTTCTTCCAGTATCTGCTACTGATGTATTATCATTCTGTTACTCTAAACTCTATCCACCTATTGAATAATATTGCTTACTTTCCTCAGTGGGGGCTAAAATAATTCTCATCAAGCTGAAAAGACAAGCCACATCCAAACTGTAGTTTGCCAAACTATGGAGCACTCTTCAAACAGGGATGATGAAAGTTTTACAGCTAATGGATAAATCAACAAATCAAACTCAAATGCAAACCAACCTAAACAATTCAAATGAAAAGTTGTTGATCTGTAAACAAAAATAGGCACTGGTATAAATAACATGATTACTTCACATGGGATGAAAAGATGTGGG